CAAGAATATGTTTAAAACCACTTGTTTTTGACAAAAAAAGGATACACTAAAGTCCATCAATGTCCAAAAAAGTTGAACAATAGACCGCTAGCAAAAAATCACTATTATTTTAGAGTTTATTACTCCCTAATATGCAGCATATGTGAAAAGGATTTACTGCGGTGTTAAGCTGCATCGTTTACCGTGGTTAAAGTACCAACAAATATGCTAAATGTTGCTGAGTCATAAATTTGTACCTTTTGGGGGGAGATTGTAGGAGAGAGCCTCAAGCAAGGCGTAGAAATGTCGGACTCGGTGAACTTAACAACATCCGCCTCTTCGTCGGACACATTGGAAACAAAGGATGCAACGCCGTTCGTCACGCCCCCACTGATCTCGGGCATCCGTTATGCCTGTATCCCTATATGGAGCATTCTCCTCTGCTTTGGAATTTTCGGAAACGCCCTCACTGTATTTGTGCTTCGCGCCAAACGCTTGCAACAATCGAGTACCTCCTTCTACCTCACCGCTCTAGCCATCACCGACATGCTCTACCTCCTCACCAGCCTCGTCGCCTCAATCGCCAACTTCATCTTCTTCTTCCCCTTGGAGCTGCGTCAACTCTCCCGCACCTTCTGTGTGTTCACACCCTTTCTCAGTTACACCCTGGCCTACATCAGTGTTTGGCTACTCGTCACGGTCACTGTTGAACGTGCTGTTTGGGTCGTGCTACCCTTTCGTGCACGTCACATCTGCACGAAACGCACTGCCAAGTTCGTGGTGGTTCTCCTGGTGTTTGGCTTCACTCTCCTCGATATACATTTTTTTGTCACGATGCGCTATCATGAGGTGCGACCGAAGTATTGGGCCTGCATGACTACCTACTTCTCCGATAAGGTTTTTCCTTTCCTTGATCTCCTCCTTGTTGCTGTTCTTCCGTGCACCATTATGCTTGTCGCTAACTGTCTCATTGGCTGGAAACTGCGAGTGATGCGGAAGTTTCGTTCAGGAACCGCCAGTGGAGCTGTGAGCAACAACAACACCGATCAAGGGAGTGGGGACAAACGCGAAAAGTCTATTAATCTTACTCGAATGCTTGTCTCAACGAATGTTTTTTTCATTGTCTCTGTAACACCGTTGCTCATATACGATGTAGTCTTCTTCTCTGTGGACATACGAGCCTGGGCAGAGGAGGCGGAAGAGGTACGAGGTGGGATGATATTCGCCATAGAACGTTTAGTCTACACACTGTGGTATACCAACTTTGCTATCCACTTCCTCCTGTACTGCCTCAGTGGACCCCCATTCCGCGCCGAGGTGTTGGTTCTCTTCAATCGCCTGCGTGACCGCACGCGCAAGCCTGCTCGCAAGCCCACAGTAGATCATACGGAATTAAAACGCCCCGAGACTGGTCTCACCTCCACCATCAATGCTGTTTCCATCGGCGACGACGTCTACAGCCGAGAGGAACTCCTGTGATTATAGATTCTGCACGATACACGAACGTGTACATTTTTGAGCACATTCATTTGGTTTTATCCTTCTTTCCCGCTTACCAAACTTACAAAGGGTCAGATGTATTTTTATGATTAAAGTTCCTTGCATAATGCCATTTTTAATACATAATGGGGGAAGCTTTTTCTGATTGAAGTGATGGAAGTTTGGCGCCCATCAAGTTTCTGGTGCCTAAAAGTTCATGTGTTGTTAATTAGTTCATAAAGTACTTATTGCTGATCCATAATCCACTTTATTTTGAAACACTTTTGCACTAAACTTGTCCTTCCATTAAAAAGTTATAGCGCTTTCTCAAAAAGACTACAAATGTGTAAAAGCATGATTTTGTGCTTGTGGCAGGCCTTAGGAAACATTCCCACTTAATGCTTTCGATGAGTTTCCTAATTTTTCTACGTATCCGGAACTCGTAAGTCTAAATGATTTGTGAACGCGTGGGCTCCCCACCAACACCCACTTTGGTTGAGCTGATACCTACAAATTGCCATCGGGGGGTTATTTCCTATGATCTCATGGCATTCACTCTCATTTGAAAGCCCGCAGATGTGCATTTTTGCATATTAAGGAATTGCTAATTTATTGGGCTGCTGTTTCTACTTATCACCATTGCCAACATAGACCATAAATAGCTCAGCAAACTAATTTGGGTGGATTCATCTATTCAAACATGTCTTTCTTTCAAGCCGCTATCCACTTGCAGCAGCACACTCCTCAAAACAGAGCTTGAAGTGGCTCTCGTAAAAGTGATGGCAAATTTCCAGCGTTAAATGAAAAATTACGCAAATCATTCACCTAACTCAGGCAGTTGTTTTTTTATTTTACTTATTTTTTGTCTGATCTAGTGTTTAGCATGGTTTGTACCACACCTGAAACTAGGCTTCTGTCAATTCAGAAGGCCCTAATACCAACTTTCTTGAATATAACTTTTTGAGAGACATAATCAGACCTTTTTTCTTCTTACAAAAGCAGTTCACTACTGGACGCATCTCCTCGGTGAATCCATGGCTGTGGCAATAATATAACGGGATTCCTTTGTTTTCGGTGTATCTTTCCCCACATGTTGCATTCAAGTAATGGTGAATTAAATCCACAATACAATGCCCCATGCAAGCTATTATTCCTCGAAATAATGACTTCCATAGTGCAGTACAATGTGCCGTAGAAGTTTTGCATGATAGCAGGACAAAGACAGATGCGTAATGAAAAGGGAAATTATTTTTCCTTTTCCTTGTGGTTCAAAATCCTTCACCCCCTACCGAAGAATCTATTATGCCAGTCCATGGAGGAATCGTTACCTCTGCAATTCCGCCTCCTATCATAAAGTGTTAAAAGCGAAAATGTCGAGAGCTAAGAAAATTTGATGCTCCTACATAATACTAATGGATAACCTTTAGTAATTAGCTCAGAATGTTTAAAACGTTCCGTGAAAATTTTCATTTTAATAGCATTCTTCCCAACTGCCTTCTTCACTAGAATCAAGCAGGATCTTTCCTTTATGTCTTCCTACCTGTTTAGCATGTATGAATTCGTCATCATGACGACTCTCTCATTACGGAGGCATCTTACGAAAAACGCTTGTGCAATCTTGAAAGCTAGTTATTTTTTGGTGTTTCACGTCATTTGGAAATGCTACTTGTTTCCACTCACCTCTTTCAAGGTACAAATGGAGCATTAAGCAGGCTTCTGGATGAATGAAGCATTCGACTGGCACAAAAGTCCCCACCTCCGGGAAAACGGTTTGGCCCCACAATAGTAAATTTATCAGTCCGTTGGTTAAAATTGCATTTAACTAGATAAACTCTTCTATTTTTTAAATAGCGCTATATCTGCCATAATTTTAGGGAAGAATATTAGCCCACTTAAATGATCGGCTCAGGGAAGATCTTCATCGTAGGAGAATCAACGTACTTTTTAAAGCTATAAGTTAAAGCCACATTCTAATGAACTCAATGCCCCGTTGTCCGCCTTGTGGAATTTTATTCATGTTTTCCTTCAAAATTTCAATGACAATTACCCTTGCTAGAACTATTTCTGTTTAAAAGAACCATTTTTTACGTATCTAAACTATGGTAACAACTCTTTCCGTTTTATCACAAATAACGTCCCTTTATAGAGATTTCTTTCGATCCCTATACCTATTTTGTCGAAACCTCTGTTTTTTAGCGAAAATTAAAGCTTAGGTGAATGTTGATGGTCAGACTCAAACATGCATTTGACACATCAAATCTCTAAAAGTTTTACTTCACTCCAACCGACTTGAGTTAATCATTGAGCACTAAAATCGGTCAGCCTGTTTTAAAGCTGTGTATGAAGTGATAAAGGTCTTGCCTTCCTTACGTGTTGGTTAACCGGTGATGCGAAATAAAATTGTCCCGATTTTTTGGGACAGTGAAGTTGAGAGACATCTTGAAGCCACATTTTCAGCTTTCTCTTTCTTCTTCTTCTTCTTCTTCTTCTTCTGTGGTGCATTGTGTTCTCGAATTAATTTTTACTTCACAAAATGATACTCCGATTAGCTACATCGGC